ACAATAATTTGTGTTTCTCACATATCCGCTTTCTAATTGTTAGTAGGTGTATGTAATGATTGAGGGTATGTCATATGGGTCAGCCTGTCGTAGGGGATATGAGGAATTGGCCTACTATACAAGAGAAAACTATTTGTAAGTAGTATTGAGACATTTCTTGTGACACTTGTGAAACTTAATAAGTTTGTAACTATCTATAGTACCATATATAAATAAGACATGAATGTCGTGCTACTCACAGGATGTAGGAGACATAATAAACTCCAGTTTTAAATAATGTGCAGTTGGTGACGTAAATGTTATCATGACTGCATTTAAATTTGGTACATGTTATTTTGTATTTTTATACATGACAATAAATCTAAATTTCATATAACTTAATATTTTTTTCCATTGTTCGGTTATTATTGTTGGGATCATTATATCACTGCATAAAAGTATCGGCTGATAAACTTTTTTCCATCCCAAGTTAGCACTAACACTTATCTCTCTCCACTCAACTCTAGTTACAGACAACCTTATTCGAGCTGCGTTTTACAGATACCAGACTCGATTATTTACAGACCGCCGTCATAAAGCCATCTTCCCGAGGCAAGTTAGTTAACTGACTATAAAGTCCAGTTTCCACCCTTGCCGAACTAGGCTGGTATTATGGAGTTACATTTTGGCTGGACTAACGAGTCTATGCAGAGTCCAATCAAAATCGCGCACCGAAATCGAATTCCGGTTCGTAAAGTGTCATGCAGATTTCGGTCGACTGCAGGATTTGCAAAGCATGTGCACCGCTAACTCGTTGTCAACAGATATTTTCTAAATCTTTTCATGTTTTTAATCAAGGTGCTCACGTGATTTGATGCACTTCGTGATGTAAGACTCGTTTTATCACAATATAGATCTTGATTATCGATCAGATCGTCTTGACTGGGCGCCACCGTTTTGATTGAAGCAAATGCAAGTGAGACGAGAGGTTGAATCTGATTGGTCAATAGGAGAGGCATGGAAGGGAGATAACTCGTAATAGCCACTGGTGGCGCTACGATTGAGCCCAGGAATTCCAGCCTAGTTCGGCAAGGGTGGAAACTGGACTTTTAAAGTCAGTTAGCTCTCTTGCCTCAGGAAGATGTCATAAAGCAGGAACATTGCTAAGTGCGGAGTTAAAGAACAAACAAAAAAATACAGCAAAAGTTCCCCGCCAGTTAATGGCATATGCGTGATATGTTGAGGAAGGAAAGAATAGCATTGCAATGGAAGGAGTGAGTGAGTCAGTATTCCAGTTATATCGCGGCGTGTCAGATTAATGTGGGAGGAAAGCCCGAAGTGATGCAGGTCTCAGACGTTTACCACTTCGGTGAAACCCACGAGCACGGGTATGGTGCTGACAAACCTAGAAACATAATCGGGGCGAACCGGGATTCGAACCCACAATCATAGGTTTCTGGCGTGACCAAGGGACGCAACTCTGCACAGCGAATCGTAGCGCCTTATACGACTGGGCCATCCAAGCTCCAACAAATGGAAGCAGAGGATTAATGGAAAGTACTAATTGGTTGTTATTAACAAACTTTGTTGAACTTTAAAATATGTATTATTTTATCTCAAATTCAAGATAAGAGGGCAAATTAATATGCATTTATATAGTGAGGCGGTCGGGATAGGAAAATAGGTTCGATATATCGGTACATTCGAGATAACAGGGTTCGACAGTAGTCTGATATACCGTTGTGTAGGGTTTCATTTGGTTAGCTTTGTTTGTGGTGTGATTACATCCGCTGTAGGTTTGAAGAATGTTTAGAAGGATTTACTGTGTTCAACCAAACATTGTGAATATGTCACGCCGCCATGTTTTTAGGTGACAAATACACCTTCAGTTCGCCCTGGTTTCAAAGGCATTTTAAGCAACTGGTATCGGTGTTCGACTAAATTCATCTTTGAAATGTTATTTGCTCTCATATCAAACCCGTTGTTTGAAGTGTGTTATTTACACGTTATAGTAGCCTGGTATTTAATCTTGTTTAACAATCACCTGAAGCAATAACAGCGTGAAGAGAGAGCAGTGTGAAGGAAGAGCCATAGCCTTGACCTGCATTCATTCCTGGCTGCCTGCCCGAATAACATACTTTGTCCCGCGGCCGGAAAATACTCTGTCCGGACCCCCCCCCCCCCCCCCTGCTAGGAGAGGTCCCCAATAGGGCTGGGACGAGTACCCACCCACCCCTATTACCCGACCCACTGTAGGTCTCTAGAGATAGGTACAAAATGTTCAATTGGGAATAAATCTTTTAACCATAGCACTGCCAAAACGTAGATACATGCATTAAACAATCTGGTCATGCATACACTGAAGTTGACTCAAGTTATTTCAACGATATGAAAAGTCAGAAGGAACGGGTGCATAGTCAGAAAGAAATGCGAACATTTGTGACTTGTAGTGTAACCATAGAGTTATTTTATAGAGTCATTAAATAATATATCACGTGACTAACCACCGGTACGGGTAGTCCTGTGGGTACCCCGATCCTACTCAGTACCCACCCGACCCGGGTACTCGAGTTACCCCGTCCCAGCCCTAGTCCCCAAGAGACTGCTCGGCCACAGGGAGGGAGATGGATACTCCTAGCTGTGACTTACTGTGTCCACTATTTATTATGTCAAACATGACACATATTGTCCAATTTTAACTAAGATTAACACATAACGTACTGAGTAATCTCTCTCTTTTCACCCTTTTTCAATATCAACATATATATGCCTTACATAAACATGATCATTCTAAATATAATACCAGATTTCAGCATGTCTTCAACTGAGAGATCAACCACGTGGAAGAGAAAACACAACTAAGTCTTTCATTTTCAATTTTTGTGAACTGAACACATGATGATCATCACATCCTTTTGTAAATGCGAGGTTATAAGCTGCGTTAATTTTTAATTTGATGAAACTAAAATAATTGTCATAGTTTTCCTGATTGTCATTCAAAGCTATTTGTATCTGACAAAGTCAATAGTGTATATGTACATGGCAAATATAATAATAAATAATTCATTTATTAAATAAACCCTCATCAACAACTTATTCTTTAATATGGCCGTAGTATATTGTATGTCAGGACAGTAAGTAACTTCTATAATTGTTTTCTGTTCTTAATTAGCAGATGTATTTGAAATAGACCAGCAAAATATAGGCAGTTAAACTACTCAAAGGTCAAACTATTGATCATATGAATGATATGATAGTAGCCTCTTGCTCAGATTGTTCATAAGATTGTTTGATTCGAAAGGGCATTACAACTAAACACAACGATTCATATCTGTACTATCTATCTTATATATTATAATTATGTAATGATATTTAGAGCGTCTGTGAGTGAGTGAGTATGGTTTTACGCTTTTAGCAATATTCCAGCAATATCACGGCGGGGGACACCAGGAATGGGCTTCACACATTGTACCCATGTCGGAAATCGAACCCGGGTCTTCGGCGTGACGAGCGAACGCTTTAACCACTGGGCTACCCGACCGCCCCTAGAGCGTCTGTAATGAAAGAATGGTATGTCTCATAGAAACTACACTGTACCCGATTCACGACCATCTCATAGATCTTATGTGGGTACTTACCTGTTTTAGTTGACACATTTGCTGATATTATTAGTTGAACTCATTGAATGTGAGATTGTCATCCGGAAGTAAAGAAAAGAGTCGTCTGCTACAGTTTGCGACAGACGCCTAAGGCATTTAATCAGCTAACTGTCAAGAGGCAGGGACTCCTCGCTCTTTTCAGTAAGGAGGGGAGAGGGAGGAAGGAATTTTTTATATAAATCTTCACTGAAGGAATTTTTTCCGGGTTATTTAAAAAATATTTCGAGTACAAAGTTAACTGTGCCAATAACTTTGATTTGTGTGAAACTGCTAGCAAATGCGCGTATTATGTCCGTTTAAAAAGTTTCAGTAGATTTCTGTTATAACGCGACGACGGGAAATCAAAACAGTGGAAATAGATCCCTTCGATCCGTATCGCCATCGTCTACACAGCACGTGCCACGTGATCACGCACACCGCTTCAGTTATACAAATTTATTTTTCTATTTTCTCTGGTATCGCACTCAATTTTTATATTCATTAAAATTTATAAGAAATGCTTTTATCAATTTGTCGTCTGCAAACTGCAGGACACCAACATCCCCCAAAGTCTATTTACACATGCTCTTCTAGCCCTGCACCATGACCGTGGAATATATTTATTTTATGAAAAACAAATAAATCTAGAAATTCATACAAAAGTAAGTCTAGCCAGATCAAGCTAGCTCTATTCCACTATTCTGAAATCAGCATGGGGAATTTTTTATATTTTTAGAGTCAAGAAGGATATTGTGTAAAATAAGATTTCAGAGACTAAATGTAAGTCTAATGCTCCTCCTCAACACCATGTACTAGGGATTTCGCGATATATATAGGGTTATGCATTTTTGGAAAATTATATCAAATAGGTTTTATAATTGTAATTTGGGGAAGAAATGACAGTGGCATCTATGACAGAACTGAATGTGCATCATCGTGTTGTTGGATGTTTGTTAACGCGTGAATTAGTCACGTGAAACCGCCTGCGTGTCTCTTTTGAAATTGTATTTGAGAATGGTGACTATATCGTTTGTTTCTTAATTATTTCTTAATCTTTTTTTGTGTAATTATTTCTCTTTTCTAATAAAACGAGCAAAGGTAAAACGAGATGCCATCACATGTGCGCTTTAACGGGGAGTTGGGGATAATTGGTCCTCGGCGATAACTGATCGCTTGCCAGTACAGATTATATCACTCTCGCTATATTTTACGCATTCGATGTTTTCGAGAATCAAAATGGCGCACTTCTTCAAGTCACAAAAATACTAAACAAATACTTCCCTGGGAAAAATGAAACATCAGACCTATCGTGAACAAAGAAAGCAGTCTCTCAGTACAACTTACTAGATACATATTATTTTAGCATTCGTAAAGGAAGCTTACCTTTATTATATAAATCCTATCAACCGGCCCACCCGCACAGTTGCAATACAGGGACAAAGTGCGCGGTGGAGCTCGAGCAAACAGCGACTTCCAGCACTCGATTGTGAGTGGCTTGTATTTCCGGGACAAGTAGGGGGGCTGGCCACAGACTCTTGATACGTGGTAGATGGTAGACGCCACACCGACGCGATTAAAACAGCTATCACTGACACAACAATATATGACAGATACACGTATTTCCAATTTTGACATGTGTGCTATTGTACCGTACACATTCTCTTATACACGCCATGTACAAGTTTCTCCTCGCAGTTGTTTATGTACAAGTCTCTAAGGCAATGATTATTGGTTTATATCATATCACCCAGCATCTTCCCGAGGCAAGAGAGTTAACTGATTTTAAAAGCCAGGTTTCCACCCTTTCCGAACTAGGCTGGAATTCCGGGGTTCGATCGTAGCGCCACCAGGGGCTGTTACGAGTTATGGCCCTTCTAAGCCTCGCCTATGGACCAATCAGATTCCACCTCTAGTATAACTTGCATTTGCTTCAAACAAAATGGCGGCGCCCAGTCAAGACAATCTGAACGACAATCAAGATGTATATTGTGACAAAACGGTTCTTACCTCGCGAAATGCATCAACTCAGTTGAGCACCTTGATTAAATACATGAAAAGACTTGGAAAATATCTGTTGACAACGAGTTGGCGGTGCATATGCTTTGCAAATCCTGCAATCGACCGAACTCTGCATGACAGTTTACGAACCGGATTTCGATTTCGCTGCGCGATTTTGATTGGACTGTGCATAGACTCGTTAGTCCAGCCAAAATGTAACTCCATAATACCAGCCTAGTTCGGCAAGGGTGGAAACTGGACTTTTATAGTCGGTTAACTCCCTTGCCTCGGGAAGATGATCGCCCAGAGTATAAGGAAGAGAATATATGGTTGTCAACTTCTTTATTACGAGGAACACAACGTTCCGGAGTGTATGATTACTCCTTCAGGTGATAGATATGCCTTTCAAAGACCCAGAGTATATACATGGCAATATTAAGTGGCACGTGGTCCTGTGCACAGATCACAAATCAGATGAAGTTAACAACGTCGGTCTCGGAGAGTAGTTGGATGGGTGACCACGTTAAGCAGCTTGACTCCTTAGAGTTTCGAGGGTTTCGGTCCTGCCCAACACTGAAGCACATGTGGCGTCTCCTTGGGCAAGTGACTTTGTTCGAAATGTGCCTCTTTTCACCCAGCAGTGAGTGGGTACCCGGTAGGATGAGATGGTAATGTGGCTGTTAACCTTCTAGCGCCTCACAGGCAGCTTGGGTTGTATACTCCCCAGGGAGATGAGAATGAAAATCGAGTGTTCACTGATCCATTGAACGGGGTAATAATAGTGTAGCGCTATGAGCATCCATGATTAGAACAAGTTGTCCCCAAAAAGACTAGAGGCTCATTAACATCTTAATTTAGGCTGGGGTTCTGTCCCATTGAGTTTTAAGTTTGTTGTTTAACGTCGCGCTCAGCAATATTCCAGCTATATGACGGTGGTCTGTAAATAATCGAGTCTGGACTAGACAATCCAGTGATTGATATCATGAGCAGCGATCCACGCAACTAGGTGACGGTGACATGTATCAACCATTTCAGCGAGCCTGACCACCCGATCCCGTCAGTCGCTTCTGACGACAAGCATATAGTCGCCTTTTACGACAGTAAATAGCGGACACTTCAAGATCGATACGCTATAACCAGGGTCATGTGCGACCTGTAGTCTAGGATGTAGACTCAAGTCTAGAATGATTTGGCAACTATAGATTGCCATAGCTCTAGAAATTCATGATTGTTCTTTGCTCCATTTGGATATTATTATTATTATTATTATTTTGTAGATATATATTAAATGAGAAAACTTTATTTATGGGACTAAATGTCAGTCTAGTGAACCTGAGACGTCTGTCTATAAACTGCGTATTAATATTTCCTGCTAGATGAATAACTAAAGCATGATGCGGAGAAATAAAGTGGTTTCGGGTGATTTGAATCAAACTTGCTTGGCCCGTCACCTTGTCCACCTGGACGTTTACCATGGCATACGCAGCGAACTCTTAGCCTATTGTGAAACATACTCAGGACGAACAGGGATGCGACTCCACGATCATAGGTTACTGGTACATCTAAGGGACGCAACTCTGCAAAACGAATACTTGTTTACTCAGCATCTTTACCACGCCTCCATTTAAAAGGAGGCAAGTGGTTAAAGCGTTCGCTCGTCACGCCGAAGAACCCGGTTCGATTCCCCGCGTGGGTGCAATGTGTGAAGCCCATTTCTGGTGTCCCCTGCCGTGATATTGCTGGAATATTGCTAGAAGAGGCGTATAACCATACCCACTCACTCACTCCATTTAAAACCGCCTTTTTTCAGGCGATAGAACATCTGCGCGGAGAGCGGAAGGTCAGACATCCGATCCCCTGGTCACGTCATACCAAAATATGGCGCTCGACGTTAATGAGCTGAAGAAAAAGGCACGTCAGTGTCAGTGAACTGTGTCTGAGTGGGGTCTCAGTATTAAACTCTTGATATTCAGTGGGCCATGAAACATGCAAAAATAATGGCTAGTACAAACAGCCACACGTGCATGCACGGCACTTTAAATCTTGAGTTCGTTGAACCCCACTTCATCAAAACACACCTATCATAAGAATAATGCTAAACATAATACTGTGACAGTTTCTTCCCAGGCAAATGAAAAGGCAAGTGAGTGTACTTTGGGTATGGTAGGAAGCGAGGAAGATGAGAATTATCAGGTGAAAAACATGTGACGACTCTATATAAGACGAAGGCTGCTGCGATTTCCTGGAAAAAACACTGGTGGGTTTTCCACATTCGACAATTCTCGGGGAATTACCTTTCATCGGGAAACAGCTATATATTGACTGGGCGAACAGTCAAAACTCGCTCCCAGACCAAGCGAGGGACATCAGGAGATATGCAGGTGAATTCAAAGTGAGGCATTATCGAGAATTTTTGTTTGTTTGTTGTTTAACGCCGCACTCAGCAATATTCCGTTTACATGACGGGGTCTCAATCACTGGATTGTCTGGTCCAGACTCGATTATTTACAGACCACCGTCATATAGCTGGACTATTGCTGAGTGCGGCGTTAAACAACAGTCAAACAACCAACAACAGTTATCAGTGCAATACAAAGCGCCTTTGTTTACATGCTTACGATACAGTCGGGACAATGGACTCACTCTGTTAGCTGAGTTTTCTTCTGATTATGGTTATTTTTTTTGGTTTTATTTATTTATTATTCTCAAACCATAACATTAAGTATCACCACTTTAACAGGAATTCGTAAGTGTTTGAAATCATTTCGGAATTTGAACTGACATTTACTGCAAATTTGGGACCGAATACTTGATTAAGTCTAGATAAATCCCTGTTTTTAGTGTGAGTGAGTGAGTTGGATTTTACGCCGCTTTGAACAATATCAAAGCGACCTCACGCCGGGGGAACACCGGAAATGGGCGTCAGTCATTGTAACCATGTGGGGAATCGAACCCGGGACTTCAGCATGAACGCTTTAACCACTAGACTACCCCACCGCCCCGGGGTCACTATAGAGCCCCTATGATATAAGTTTAAATACCAAGCATTCACTGCCAGTCAAAAATACCCGGATTTCACAGCCGGACTATAGGATAGTACATTGAACGTGTAAACATACTGGTGTTATATAATCATCATAACTTAACTTTTCCTTTTTCGACGTTTAGAAACTTCAATTATATTTTAATTGATTCACTTTACTTGTTATTTTGGGAACTGGATATTGTAACTGCAATTAAAAATATGATCCTGGATATTTAAAAAGAGAAATCTTGCAACAATGTGTTTTCTGGCGGACGATTTCTTGCTTTTTTCAACAGCCTGAGGCAAAATTGGACAATTGTTTTTAAAATAAATCAAATATCTCTAAATATACTGTGCAACCTTTCCACAACCCCGATACTGGACGCGATCAGTTGTCTAACGAGCCAGTGACATTACAATCTCAAGTATGTGACCTCTTGACCCAGATACCCAGTTTATCACAAAATTCGCTGCGGTTTTCAAGCGCCCAAACTCGTCTACTGCTGTCTTCTGGCGATAGCAAGCAACACATTCCCACCTGCACTCTGTAGAACAATCACGTGACTTATGCACGGGCACCAGTGTGATTTTACTGCACGTGACATTCACTGCTCTTGTTACAGGACAACTGATTACCGTAAAACCTCTAACCATGGTCCCCACGCAGTGCCTCGGGCCCCAAATGTGTATTCTATCAAGTAAATCAACAGTAGACTGGGCTCATCGTTTAAATAATCCATGGGATCCTCCATCACACGTAAATAAGTCGGACGGTCTGGTTCTAGCTGTAGCGCTGATTGCATGGAACGGTACAGATACGCATTGCGACAGCAATCAATATTTAGCATTCCAAGTTTCATTTCTAAAATAGCTAGTGTAGACTTGTTTCGTTCTGAACATTCACTGGAGTGAGTGAGTTGGGTTTAACGCCGCTTTTAACAGTATTCCAGTAATATCACGGTGTGTCAGCTTAATGTGGGAGGAAAGCCCGAAGTGCAGGTCTCAGACGTTTACCACTTCGGTGAAACGCACGAGCACGGGTATGGTGCTGACAAACCTAGAAACATAATCAGGGAGAACCGGGATTCGAACCCACAATCATAGGTGGGACGCAACTCCGCACAGCGTATCGCGGCGCCTTAGACGACTCGGCCACCCGTGCACCCAGATTCATTGGAAATATGTAACACCTAATGCTGTAAGTAGTCATGAAAAATAGTATATATTCTGTGTAAAAATGACTACACTAATGAGTGACAGAGTGAATTTGTGAGTGAGTGACTGAGTGAATAATTGATTGAGTGATTGAGTGAATAATTGAGTGAGTGAGCCAGTGTTTCAGTTATATCACGGCGTGATGTGGGAGGAATGCCCGAAGTGATGTAGATTTGCCACTTTGGTGAAACCAACGGGTTGTTGGTGCTGAGAAACCTAGAAACATTCATGTCGAATATGGGATTTGAACCCACAATCGTAGGTTTCTGACTCGCCGTATATAGCGAACCGAGGAGCCGAAGGCGACTGCCTTAAACACATTTCCTTCAAAATATTTTGAACCCGTGCAGATCCGGGTTAGAATTGATCCTCAGCAACTCGTGCTTG